AAGATTCTTATAATTCTTTTCAATTTTTTATTTTATGCTTCGGAATATAAACGACCCAATATTAATTAATCAATATTTATATTTATTAATAAATTAGAGAAGAAAATATTGCCTTTAATATATATATTCATAAAACCTTCTCATATTAAAAAATCGATTAAAAGTAAAAGAGAAATTAATCTCGAACTAATTTATTATATGTAAAAAAATCTAAAATATTCTTACATTATCTATCACTATCCAAATCTTCAAATACCCTTTCTATTTTATTTGTCAAAAAATTTCGGAAAATACAAAAAATATATATTTAAAAATGTCCCTTTATTTTAAAAATTATAAATATTAGATATATAAAATATAATATACTATGTCATTTTTAGGAGATAAAAGAAGAAAGTAATAATCTATTACTAATATTACGATTATAACTATCCCTATAGCCACTACCACAACAATAATTTACCATTACTACGACCACCACAATAACAACTACTACCATCACTACAGACATCTACATATATATATATATATGCGTATATATATAAATATATGTTTATATATATAGACACCCGCGTGCCCCTATGTCTTCTGCCCATGAGCCCTTACTTGGGGTTTTGTGCCTTTGTGTTCAACATCATTCCATAACCTCTCTCGACCGATATAATATCGACGAGAAGGGTTAATAAAAAGCCAACATCGTAATGCTAAGTCCACAGCAAGTATATGTATCATGTAACGAACTTATCCCTGCACCCATTTCCTATATTACACAACACGTGCCGGAAAATGGCGGAACCTAGCCTACACGCCCGCGCCGATCCCAGAACAAGCCTCAGGCCTTACCCCAATCTTTCGCAAACCTTGTTTCGGTCATCCAGAGCTCGCACTGTTAAGGAAAATTCACAACAGAATAAATAAATACACTTCTGGAATTACAAACTCCAATATAAGTCTCACTTTTCATATTAAAATCAAATAACTTCGCCAACTCTCGGCGGATGGCTTTCTTTCACGCTAAGCGTGCGAGCGCAAGTCCATATCTGTTTTCTCTGGCCCATCACGGCGGAGACCTGAGTTGACAAAATGCATGAAAGATTTATGGCCAACAGCAACGGGCCCAGGTGTCATCAAGGCTCTTGCGCTTCCACGGCGTCTCTAGTTGGCCAAGCTCCTGGACTCGGAGAACGGGAACTTGTGCAGTGCACTCCGTCGTGCTTCATGAAGTGTCGGCGCTCTTTGGGCTGACCCCTGCTCCGTCCTTGCCCCGATCGAGGCAAGCGCTACCGGCCAGTAAACGACAAACACCGGCCTGTTTTGCGAGTCTTTCATGCAGTGTCTCTCATTGCTTTGGCTACTGTTTCGGGGCTGGGTGCCGAACTCCTCCAGCAAGCACTGCAAAGTTGGGATCTGCTGCCACCTCAAGACGTGGTCAAAGCCAGACCAGTCAGTCAGTGCTCCACACCGCAGCTGCAGAAACTCTGGGTCCAGCGTCTCGCAACTTGCGCGTTTGCTTAAGCAGATCGGCGGGTCAAGCTCAGCCCGTACGTTCAGATCTGAGGAAATTCAGATGCAGTGCTCCGACCCTTCATGTGCAGATATGGCATCCGAGGATTGTCAGCATAGTCTGCAATAGGACGTGACTCCGTCAACTCTCTGCGACTCTCTTGGGATTCGGACTAAGATATGCTCCTTTTCCTCTTGCGTCCCTGCTGGACAACTAGAGGGGTCTGCAAGCCACACAGCTCGTCCTGCATGGCTTCTCGAGGCAGACTCTAGGCTCTAGGCACTAGTCGAGCTATGCATAAGTCATTCTTTTGAATGCATGGAATGAAGATATAGCCAGTCGAGTACATCTGTCGATGCAAGTCCAAGGACACGAGATTCAAGAAATTCTCCGATGTCATGCCAAGACATGCAGAAACTTAGGCAGTCTGCTTAGTCGGATCGGCGGGTGAACGCTTTGGACAACCCATCCTCGCGGTTGAACACAAGGCACGATCGCACTCGTCCGAATCCGCTTAACTGATGTTAAGTGATTGTCGGTCCGTTTGTTCTCTTCAGATTCGCACACACCTTCATTAGACAGACCCTTACAAAAAGATGGTGGACGACACAGATGCATGTGGGAAGGCATCAGACTGGTGGTGAATAGCAGCAGAAAGCTGACTTGCGTTGCTATGTATGGCTCAGTTTCGAATAATTCAGTCTTGCTCGCGGCCCTTCTGCCCTTCCCGCCTGTGAGGCTGCACTGGCCAGCTGCTGCCGCAGTGCCATGCACGGAAGCGACAACGGCACACCGAAGGGAGCTGCAGACTGGGCGGCATAGTTAAGTCTACATGCATCATACCACTCGGGCCCGACGCAAGCAATGCATCACCCTGCCTCGATCTCTGAGATAGGCTTAGATGCTGTCTGCTCCTCCGCCACGCACCCACTGGCTTGATTGGCCCTATCTTGCCAGCTCTGCAAGACTAAGAGGATTGCACGCGCATGACGTAAGCAAATGTCTACAACATTTAATCTACAACTTGCATTGGCATCACCCTCGAAACTACACGACTGTCGGAAACCGGCCCTGAGCTGCTCGGGACAGGGGCCGTCCTTCAGTAGTGCCATTAGCCGCTGCAACAGCGAAATCCGGAGCTCTCGAAGCTCCTCGCCTTCCATGACTCCTCAAAGGTTGCTGTCTCTGGGCGGTTTATGACTAGGATCTCGGAGTGGCAGCGTGCCTTTGTCCAGCGCGCATGGCCCCGAGCCTGACCTTTGCATGATGATCTGAGTTCTTCCATCGAGGAACGGCTCTGAATGCTATGTCGCACCTTTTTTTTTCTGGCTGCAAATATCTCAAAATATCAGAACTCTGTTCCGCTTCGACCTGGGGCACGTGTCGGGCCGATGGGTGCGATTTTTGCAACATTCGGCCCCAAGAACATGCCGTGCTTATAGATGCTCTGGCCCTAGCAGCTCTGGCAGCGATTGCTTGGATACTCTGTGGGACAACTGTGGGGGATGCACAGCAGCATACTTGGCTGGCGGGGCAATGCGGGGCATACAGGAATGAGCACAGGAGGGAGAGGCCATTCTCACATCCTGCCATCAGGGAGTTTGATTCCAAAGCTTCCGAAAGCTTCACACTTGCCCTTGTTTGAGGAAAATTTGATACTGGCCACTGATTTATGCATGCCTCATCCACTGCAGGCTGATATTTGTCAAGGGTTTCTCTTGACCGAAGCTAACAAGAAAAGAACCTGCGGGGTTCCACCCGAGGGGATGCGAGCGAAAGCATTAGCAAGAAGGAGGCACCACGCCCCACAGAGCGAACTGTGGCCCGAACCCAGTCTCCAAGAGGTGCGCCACTAGCCTGGCAACCAAACAAGTCGAAACTTGAAGCACCGCTCAACGCATTCCATGTCTGCTCTTCAAAGGCGACTCGCTCGTGCCTCCAAGGCCGAGGCAGCCGAGGGACAGTGAATTGAATTTCTATGCAAGCTGCTACCAGCTTCGGCTTGCTTGAAGGCTCCAGGCTTCGCTTCCCTTCGCTTCCCTTCATGCTGCACCGTGCCTTGGATGCAAGGAGACCAATGACTCGTAGCCCGTGACGCTCACGTCCTTCGACGCCTCGGAACGATTCCGCTTCTTGCGCTGCTTCGGCTTCGGCTCTTCCCTTCACTTGGGCCACAACACTGAGGGTGGCATGGGCGACGCCACCACTACAGATAAAGAGATCGCCGGGGCGAAGGAGTGCAATACGTGAAGCCGACCTGACATTTCGATCGTCGCCGCTTCGCGTTAGGGAAAGTTTAGTCGTCACAGGTTTTTGGTCAACCCGGTTATATTTGCTTGCCTCAACGCTCTCAGCTGAGGTTCCCCCAGAGGAGGACGGAAGTGGGCATCGGGCAACTCCCTCACGTACTGTGTGGATTCGACACCTCTGGCGTGCAAGTGCAGCTTGGCTTTTGCAGGCGATCATGGATTAACGATCTGAGATTTAACAGCTTTGCCAATCCCCACGTAGGACTGTCCTTTCTGGCGAATCAAGTTCATAGGCCACATCGGGCTTGTGTGGAGAGGCCAGAGTCACCTCCCTATTCCATCATCCACACCAGACCATTTCTCTTGTTGGGGACGATCGCATCGGAGCCCGGCTCCCTCTGTGTTTTCTGGATGAAGATAAAGCATGCAGACATTGGCAGACACCGTGCGGACGTGTAGGGCAAGCGAGATGTGAGGCGCCGGCCTGCTGGCCAAGTAACCATCAGCTTGTAGCCCCTGCATTGGAGACACGGGCAGCTATGCAATAGAACCGCAGCGATGTGGACAGTTTCGTGATGAGCATGCAGGAATCGGGCTTCATCCGTGCCTCCACTGTTTGCCAATATTGCTCCACAGGACCTGCTATCCCGAAGCCACGTCGTTTCGAGCATCGTTCTGATGGCTCTGTGGCGGCTCCAAATCTCAACCAAGCCACCTGATCCACGTGCAACCCCTTGCCACTTCCGCGGCCTCCAATGAAGATCCCATCGTCATAACCTCACATTCGTCCCAAAACTTGCAACACGAACAGCACTCCATTAAGCAAGCACACAACGGTCACAGAGTATCACGCTTGGGCCAAATAGTGTTAGCTCCGGGACTCCAGGCAGTTCCAGTAGAGCGTCCAACGAGATAGCTCTCCGAACCAGTCGCGCGCATGACGCCGGCACAAGCTCTTCGTTGGCTCTTTGCATCCGCAGCCTGCGGCTGCATCGTTGGCTGCACGCCTCGGAGGCTCATAGGCAGTCGCCGGACATCGCTTCCCTGATGCAGGGCCCGATTATTCGACTGATGCAACTGCCGGTTTTAGTTGGAACAGGTCTTTACCAACTTTAGCGACATGCTTGTGCCAAAGTAAGCCATAACTCGTCCTTGGAGTAGCTGCATCGATGTACTAGCCTCGTCGGTGGCTTGGCCCCTGTAGACTGTAGACTTTCAAAATGATCCTATATGACCCTCAACAACTTCTGTTGCAGAAGGCTTTGCGCCAGCCGCAACAGCAACAAGCTAGCCTCCGCAAGCCAGGGCAGATTCAGCACTAGTTCGCTAGGTTCAGCATCGTGCGGAAAGTCGCTGTGGTCGAAGCGTTCAGCGATTCTGCAGACTTGGTACTAGAAGGCGCGGCACACTATCACACGTGCACCACCCCCTGCCCTGAAAATGTAAAGTTGCACGCAAAATCACACTACCGGTTGTCGAAAATGACAGCATCGCTTTCCTCCACCCCGAGAGCAAGCACCAAGCATAGCCAGAGTAGTCTGCACGGGAATACCTCGGCCCGAACATCCCCGAACGTTAACTTACAAGACTCACCAGCCCGATCGATGGAAGCAAGCCGCTCTCGCAAGCGCCGCAGCTCACAAACGTACAAGTGAGACCTGGGCCGCAAGTGTTGAGGACTGCTGACAACCAGATGCTCGCGTGAACCTTAAGGCAGACGGTAGCACCGTCACTTGCGCCCAC